CTGATTGTTGACCACTAGCTCGTCGGGAATGGGGGGGGGGGGGGGGGGGGGGCCTTCTTGAGCGCCTTGCGAAGGACCCCAGGGGCCTCCGCAGAAGTAATCCACTCACGATATTCCCTCAGAGAGCATCCCAAAGCACGCCTTCTAGCCCTACCAGTAACCCTCTTAGCCGTAATAGCCACCAGATTGAGCTCCTCCACAGACAGACTACTAACCCCAAGGAGCCTGACCTGCCACTGGCTCCAAGACGAAACGCCCCCATTCTCAAGACTGGCCAAAGGAACGTGCACTGCTTCAGGCTGATCACTGGCAAGAGCAGCACAAGCGATACATAACTGCTGCTGCTGAATGGGTCCGTTGCCTCGGACACGGCGAAGATGCAGCCGACCTAGAACTGTGGCGAGGCGCCCCCACCACGAAGCAACTTGATCATGAAGAGGTTGCTCTCTCACTCTAGCGGATGCCTTGACTTCTGAAACAGCAAAAGACGGCCCCTGACTCCGAGAGACGGCCCCAGGCAACGAAACGTGATGATGCTGGACAATGGCCTGCTCCAAGGTCTGAACGCAAGACGAGCGCGTAGCCCCGAGACGTCGCACGTGCGGACCCCCCACTGCATCTGCGGCCGAGTTCGCTATGATGGGCCACGCGTCCGACTGTTGAGACGACTGCGAGTGCCCGACCTCGGCCCGACACGAGCCCCACAGGTCAGGGGGCACCTGGAAAGATGGAGGGGAGGATATCGACCTACTAGCTGCCGAGGGGTCGGGGGTTGAAGCTGGGCCCCCAGACGATCCCGACGAATTTGTATCTGCAGCGCTCGGGCCCCCAGCACTGGCCGATGGACCTGCGAAAGTGCCGACAAACTCGGCGCCCGCATCGGCCCCGGCCCCTTGAGGCTGAGCGGGGTCATCCGAAGAGGAGAGCTCGAAGATACCCATCAGGAACGCTGCACTCAGAATCGCTGTCGACGTCAAAACCGGCGCCAGAGTCAGGGGCAGAGGCAGAGACAATTGCGACAGGTGCCTCCCCAGGGCGCTCGTGGCCCACGCCCACGGCACTTCCCTGGCTCGGCTCGCGAGTCGAAGTGGCGAGGTCCCCGAACATCTCCTCGACTGCCTCCTGCTGCTTGATGCGCGATGCCTGTCTCGCCACGGCCCGCTGGACCTTGGCCCTGCTGGATTTGGGCCCTGGAACAGGTTAGGTTTGCGGCCGCGGAGCCCGAGGAAGACGAGCGGCGACGACAAGCTCTCTGAAGAGGAGTTGGCAACCTGAGCTACGAAGACGAACCTGCACCCCGCAACGCGGTCTCCACCGAGCCGCCAACACCGCCGACACCTGCGCGATGTAGGGCGCGCAGGAGTGACTAGCCATGACGTAATCTAGCATACCCCCCTTGCCTGAAATACATGCATGTTCCACCCCAGGCGTGAAGGTGACGGCCCCAACCTTCTCCGCGAACCCGAGGTCGACCAAAACACTCGGGTCTAAGTTGAAGTCGCCCACCACGAACCACGGCAAACGTAGCTGCGTGACGAGGGCCCCCAACTTGGCGAACCTGACGAGATTCTTGCCAGTGAGGCCCTCCGAGCTGAACCTGTAGAAACTGATGGCCACGACCGAGTAGCCGTGCATGTGGGTGATGCCCGCCGCGAAACCGTCGTTGCACGTTGTGCCTGGGGCATGCAAGTCCCCCATGACCACGTCGGACTCGCTGAGCAGCTGGAGCTGTAGATGCTGCCGGCACAGAATCCACTCACCTCCTTCGTTGGCTCTGCCCCGTGTGGCCGCGGACTGCTCGTTGCCCGTGGGCCCAGCTGGATTGTCGATCATGTTCAAATGCGCCTTAGAAGCCTGGCCCTTCCAGTGCAACAAGTCGCTCGCTGACTCGATGCGAGCCTCAACTAGAAAGAACTAGTGAAACGGTGCACACGCTGGTCCTGTGATGAAGTCCCATGCTTGCCGACCCATGGCGGTAACGTTGCCGAAGAGCAAGAATGCGTCCGACTCCATCTTGGACCCTGAAACTCCCTCAACTGTGACAGGCTGCAGCACACCACTGTCATGGGGATCCCCTGGCTGAGACGCACTCATACGACTGAGCCCTGACGAGGGACCTGAACTTGTCGAAGGAGATGGACTGGTCTCAAAAGGTCCACCTCCACCCCGCGGACGTCACTGACGTGGGCCTGAGCCCGCTCCTGGCTGCGCCGCCTCGGCCGCGCCCGCCGCCGCCCGCGCAGCTGCCTGCTTGGCGGCGCTGAGCCGCGCTGCCGCGGCCCTGATGCGCTCGTCGCTGCCGCTGCCGCCGTCGGCCTGCGCCGCCGCTGCACCCGCGGCTGAGGCGCCCGCCTGGCCGCCGCCTGAAGCCTCCGTGGCTGGCGTCGCGGCGGGCGCCTCGGCTGCCGCTGGGGCCGCTGGCTGCTCGGCCGCGTCGCCATCCGCACCCCGACGCTTCTTGGCCAGGCGGTTGGTGATCTGCCGCTGGAGCTCCTTGGCCCTGTCCAACCACTGAACTACTTGAATACTATTGGTCTGCAATTGATTACGAGCCGAAATTAAATCTGCCTTGAGCTGACGAAGAGCAACCTTCTCTGACTCCTCCGCCTCGAGACCGTCGGTGTCATCGAAGAACCTCTCATCCCACTGGATGTAAAACAGAACGTCCTTTTTCTCGTCGGTCGAGGGAGGGTCCGTGGGTATGACCCTCATCTTCTTGCCCAGCGCCTCGGTGGCCAGGCGCTTGGTGTCCTCCGCTGCTGCAAGACTGTAGGCTGCCTGCTGCTCGCGCTCCTCGGCCTCGATCAAATTCTCCCGACATCGGGTGAGTGCTGCGATGGCTTGATGGTGCTTCAGAGCCGCGTCACGCACAGCCCCGCTGGCCTTTTGTCAGAGCGTCCTCAGGGGCTAGACCTTTGGCCGCGTCCTTGAGCACCTTGATCTGCGACTCGAGAGTGCGCTTGAGTAGCGGGTCTCCTGCCACCTTAACAGCCTCTTCTAGCACGGAAATCTGGTCGGCCTTGATTGCTGGAGCGCCTGCGCCACCACCAAACTTCTTGCCCTGCTGCTGACTGTCAGACTTCCCGACATACAACTTGACTCTCCTAATGCATTTGGCGCACCAGCGATCAGCTGCCTCAAGCACGTCATTGTATTCGTGTCGACCGCACCCTTTGCAGGTGCTCCATTGCCTGGAACTCATGATGCCCTCTTCGCCACCGAGAAAGACGGCCCCCTAGGAATGGGCTGTGGCCTCGGTGCCCCCCAAGCGCTACGTGGAAGAGAGGGCCTGGCCTCGAGGATCACCAAAATGGGACTCTCGAGCCAATATGCTTGAGACGAGAAAGGCGGAACAGAATGAGGAGGATGAGGAGGAGGAGAAAGAGGAGTAGGAAGGACATAAACATTTAGAATTAGGGGGAGGACGACGGAGGGATAAGGGGGCACAGATGCCAGGAGAGGGATAACGATGGTGAGGGCGGATGCGGAATCGGAATGCAAACAGCAAGGCGAAGAAGATGCCACTGGCATGGACGTTCAGAACCGTCTCAGGGTCAGGGAATCAATTCGGGCCACGGCAATGGATTCGTTCCGAGTTGCCCCCGAAGTGGAAGCGCAGCTGAAAGACATTCGGTCCAAGGGAGGGCAAGTGAGGAGAGAGGGCCGGGTGCGAAAGGGATGGGCCCTTCCTGCACTTCTGGAGGCTCTTCCAGCAATTTTGCGAACACGCAATCTGGTCGGAGAAGGCGTGGCTTACTGCAGTACATGAGCATTTCGACGCCATCTGAACGCCAGTTTAGTGCTCATTGGGAGCGGGAGAAGGAAACGAAGGAAGAAGAGAGGAGGGGAACACCACATGCAAATCCTCGCAAACCTCCCTCGCCCTCCCTTCACATCCTCCTCCTTCCTTCCACTCCTCCTTTCCTGCCTGCCGGCCTGCCTGCCTGCCTGCCGGACTCCTCCTCCTCCTCCTCCGTCGTCCCTCCGCTTACTCCCACTCCTCGTTATCCTCCTCGTCCTCGTCCTCGTCCTCGTCCTCTTCCTCCTCCTCCTCCTCCTCCTCCTCCTCATCCTCCTCCTCCCCCCTCTCCCCATCCTTATCCTCCTTCTCCCTCTCCCACGCAACCACCCTCCCTCCATCCTCCATATTCCTTGACCTCGTGCTCCTACTCCTCCTCCGCCCGCCCTCCTCATCATCCTTCTCCTCCTGCTCTTCCCCCTCATCCTCCGTCCTCCGCATCTTCCTCTTCATCCAACTTCTTCCTCGTAAAACTCGAGCGTGTCGCACCACCAAACATTGTCTCACGGACGGCACGGGCTGAGACCTTCTCACCGTTTGCGATAGAAGGCTGGACATTTCCAATAATTACACGGTTGGAGGGCGGGCTGTTTTCAAAATGGTGTTCTCGCCTGGGCCCTAACAGATCACACTGTCACACCGATGGGAAGCGGGATTGTTTCGTCTTCATGCTGTGCAAACTCGCTTTCAAATGTCCACACCATGACACCGATGGGCTCCTTCCTAAGATCTCTTCAAACCATATGCCCACAAGGGCGCGAGAGGAGAAAGAATGGGGCCCGATCAGACCATGCAAGTCGGCGCGGGGATTGCGAAGGAGAGCATGCTCTTTAGCAAGGCACTCTTTAGTGAAAACGCCAAGGCGGTCCAACCCCAGCGCGGCCGCAACACCCGCTCGAGAAGTTAAATGTAGGCAATTTGCTAGTCGACCTGGCAGGGTGGAGGTTCAATCAATCTCCAACGTATCTCTTAGAGAGACAGGCTGGAGGATGAGGAGTCAGATCGAGAACCGAGGAGGATCGAGGAGAGTGCTCGCAGCCCTTCTGGAACGCCTGGCGGACCCGAGAGGCCTCCAGCGGCCCTTCGGGGTCCTGAGGGGATCCGCCGGGACCTCTGGAGATCCCTGGATGGAGACCTCGAGGGGCAGGAGAGGCGGGAGGAGGCAGGGGGACGCGGGGACAAGTCAGTCCGAGGGCCGAGCTCTCTATCCTGATCCTCTTCTGGTCGAGGACCATCTTGCGGTTCCTCTGATCGTTCAGGCCAGTCTGCGAAGGGGGGGGCGGGAGTCGGCGGATGGGAAGACTTGCCTTTCCTGCTGTACCTCCTCCTCCACCTCCGCCTCATCCTCCTCCCACCGACTCCTCCTCCTCCTCCTCCTCCTCTTCCTCCTCCTCCCCCTCCCTCTCCTCCTCCTCCTCCTCCTCCACCTCCTCCTACAGACATCAAACCGCAAGCATGCGCTCCTGGGCCCTCGCCCCCGCCCGCTCATCCCACCTCCCCCCACCCTCTCTGCTGCCTGTCCCTCTCCTTCCTCGTCATATATTGCTGTTCCTCAAATTCCTCACCCTCCTTCTCCTACATCCCCTCTCCTGCTCCTCCTCTTCATCCGTCTTTATATGATCCTCCTCCTCCTCCTCCTCCTCTCCTCCTCCTCCTCTCCTCCCCCTCCTCCTCCTCCTCCTCCTCCTCATCATCAACATCATCATCATCAGCAGCATCAGCATCAGCATCAGCATCAGCATCAGCATCAGCAACAGCATCAGCATCAGCATCAGCATCAGCGTCAGCATCATCGTCATCATCAGCATCGCCATAGTCATCCTCACCATCAGCACCATCAGCATCAGCATCAGCATCAGCATCAGCATCATCATCATCAGCATCATTTTCCTCATCATCCTTGTCAGCAGCATCATCATCATCATCATCATCATCATCATCATCATCATCATCATCATCATCATCATCATCATCATCATCATCATCATCATCATCATTATCAGCATCATCATCATCAACATCATCGTCGTCATCATCATCATCAGCATCATCTCCTCCCTCACTCCTGCCTTCTCCTACACGACTTCCAGCGCGACAGCGTCCCGCAGGCAAGCCGATTATCTACCCTGCTTCCTAGAAGAGCAATATACTACTCGAAAGCGTCCCACAAGGAAGACGATTACCTAACCTGCAGCCTAGCAAAGAACACCACCACCCCTCCTGCCAAACAAACAACAACTCGGAACAGCCGATCATGCGTCCCGTCATGGACGGCTGGGGCTGCCCTGGACTTAAAGGACTCCCAGATGGGGTCGGAGTAGATGGGGTCGGCGGATCGCGCCGCATCGCCGATGCATCACCGATGCATCGGCGATGCATTGGCGACGTCGGCGGTGCATCGGGGACGTCAATGAAAAAAATCGAGCTCCGCCACATCGCCAATGCTTCGGCGATACGGTGCGATCCGCCGACCATACCTACTCTGACCCCATCTGTGTAGATTGAATCGCACTTGTCCGAGGGGAACTGATGTGGATTAGCAAGCTTGTCAACTTTGACAGTAACCTGCGACGCGCACCTCGTCCAGCATGTCATTTGGACGTCCGATCAGCCGTGGAGATTGCCTACAGAGCACGGCCGCATCGGGGGTCCCGGAAAGCCCGAGCCTAACACGAGGCCAAGACTGGGACACAATCGGATCGGGACAAATCGAAGATCTCTGAACTCTGGCGGATCTGGAAGTTGTTCCGGGGGCCGAAGCCGTTGCCAAGCGCTTTAGAACGCTCCGGCATCCTTCAAGAACGGCCTGGAACGAGTTATCCTGGTCTTGGCCCTGCCCGACAACGACCTCCTCTCTAGGGCAGGGGCGAGGTGAAAACACCGAACGGAGACCAAATCCCTCGCACTGGTCGGACGGCAAGACCGGCTCCTCAGCACTCACACCGTCCTACATAGTGGCGTGCGGCATCAGGGTCGCGGGCGAGCGCGAGCCCCAACCTCCCGAACATGCCTTTCGAGGATGTCTGGGGCTCCAGAACATCCAGCATGGCTCTGGCATGGCTCGTGGGCAGGTGGGATCTGCCGCCGAGCTGCTAGAACTTCAGGCTGTGCGACGAGGGGTACGGTCGCTCGTCATTGGAGCAAGAGGAAAAAAGGGGGGGGAAATTGGAGGCGGCTAGGAGGTCCGAGCTGGCTAGCTCCTGACAAAACTCAGTCAGGAGGGGGGGATGAGGTCAAATCCGCTCAAAATTGGTCCCCGCACCTCTCCCAGAATCCATCTGGTGACGGTTCCGGGGCCCGAAAACGGCCCCTGGAGGCGCCGAGGAAGGCAAACAACAACTTCTCGAACTCAACACCTCGAACCTCCTCCTCTTCCTGCTCGCCAAAACCAATGCCGCGCCACCTCAGACCCCGAGCCGGCTCCAAGGCGGAGTGCGATCGCTGATCGTCTGGCCTTCCGTGGCGCCTCCCCCCGCGATTGTCTCGCCCCCGCCAGTGACTTCCCTGCGGTCGCGGGCCAGACGGCGGCAGCGGCAGCAACGGGCGGTTGCGCAGAGGACCTTGTGGACCTGTTGATCCAGCGCAGAGGCGTGCAAGAGGAGGGGGGAGGGGGGGAAGGCAAGCCAGGCGCACTCGCGCCACACCTGGCATCCCACCCCTCCCACCCATCCCTTACCATTGCGCCATGTGTTCTCCATCCGCAGACGCTTGTCCTAGCGGGTCCTGGACTCCTCAGGGGGCTTCACCGTGCTGTGCGCAAACGGAACAAGAGAGAGCGGCGCGGCGCACACAAAATGCCGCCCCACACAGCAATGCCTCGGCCAGGGCCGAGCAACCACCGCACCTCGCCCCGAGCGACGGCGGCGGAATTCGGGGATCTACTGGTCGGGGTCAATGCAAGCCCAGGTCAGCCAGGCTCTGCAGGATCCTGCGAGATCCTCCAGGATCTTGCAGCATGCTGCGCGCTAACCCATGTCGATGCAGCCCTGGTTTTGCAGGACCCTCCAAGATCCGGTATACTCGGGCTCCCGAGGAATGGCTCGGGGCGGGCGGCGACCGCGCCTGCGCGGCGGCGGCTTCGGCTTCAGACAAGGCGAGGCTGCCGCGCTGGCGGCGCGGCAGCAGGAGCAGGCCGCCGGCTGTCGCTGCCGCCCCCGGCGTCGACTGCCGCGGGCGGGCCCGCAGCGTTCGGCGGGTCTCGGTTCGGGCGCGCGGGTCGGGTGCTTCAGGCAGCCGCGGGAACAGCGCGGCACGCCCGTGGTGATTGCTGCGCAGCAGAAAGATCGGGATCAGGTCTGCCTCTCCCTCCGCCTTCTCCTCCGCCTCATTCTCCCGCCCGCCCTCGAACACGAACGCAAGACGAGAACAACATCGGGTTGGGGTACGTCTGGAATGTTAGAAGACCGCCGGGTCCACAGCGCTCCAGAATGATCTGGTCCGATTTATGCTCGTCCTACATGGTCCTCCTCTTCGCAAGATTGAACAGCCGTGCCGAAGAACACCCCCGCAACGATGCAGGGCGCTGCCCTGCCTCCCGTCGTCCTATTCGCTCGAAGTCGGTCCCTTCACCCCTCTCCGGGACCATGCTGGCCAGTTTTTCGAGCCAGTCGTGACGACGACGTCGACGACGACGCCGTTTTGGACGACGTCTCTGGACGATCGCACCCCCCCGAGGGGCTCTTCATGCTGACTGGCCGACCACTCCCCGAGGCGCCTTCAGGCGATCCGTCTCGGTGGAGATGGCGAGCAGCTGGGTCTGCTTCTGAATCCAGTCCTGAGGGAAGCCCCTCCCCCGGCGTCTGCCTCCCTCCCTCCCTCCCTCTGCCATTTCCTCCACCCTCTCCTCCCCCCTCGCCTCGCCAGCTCCTCCTCCGTCCCATTCCCTTACCCACCAGCGAACCTCGAAGCACGAATTGGAGTGTCTTCCGGCCCCTTCGAGTTCCCCGTGCGAAGAACTGCAGATGCTCCCGGAGGGGCCCACAGCCCCGAGCTCTGAGCGATGATTTCCCGAAGACCTCTCGGGGCTTCCTGCGTGGCTCTTACCGGGGCCGGAAGGCCCTCGACGGGCGAAGTGAGCCCCGAGGCGCCGCCACCACGGCCCAAGAAGGCCACAGGACGGCCCATGAGCGATCCAGGGCGGCCCAAGGTGGCCCCAACACGGCCCATGAGGCCTACTTCTAAGATGGCCCCACGGGGACCCCGAAAAGCGCCCCAAGAGGTAAAACTACATGATTATAGGGTGCTCGCCTTGTCGGGCTTCCAGCGCTAAGGAACAGTCCAACAGGACTCCAAGATCGCCCAGTCCAACAGGACTCCAGGCTCTCAAGAGGACCTCAAGATGGCCCAAAAGGCCCCACAGGCGACCCAAGCGGGGCCCAGAGCGGGAACACGAACGAATATGCCGTTCCATCGACAAAGATGGCACCCGAAACCGCCAGCAGGCCCACAGAGGTCCCCAGCAAACCCCTGGTGTTCCCAAGCCCCTAGGAAACCCCCAAAAGGCCCCACATAGGCTTCTAGTTTCCTCCTCTTCTCGTCTTGCAGCGATGATCAGGGTGAAGGACGGTTCCCTGTTCCCCCACATTCAAATTAGGTTCTTGTTTTCTCTGGACACCCTCCGCGCAGGAACCTCACTTCCCTCCCACTGTCCGTTTCCCTATGGGCCCGCACATCACGTTGGTAATCGGAGCGACTCGTATTCATCCGTATAACTGTCGTCACTTTCTGGGTTCCTGAAGCTTGAGTACGGGGGAAATATCAGCCTTGTCTTTGAGCGAACTGCGAGGAGGTCTCAAACGGGAGCCCCCTCCTCATGGGGCCCGCACCGGACGGTTTTGAGGAAGTCTCAGGCGGCAGCCCCCTTCTCATGGGGCCCGCGATTCCCGTTGGTAATCCGAGCGGGTCATCCTCATCCGTGTAACAGTCGTCACTGTCTGGGTTCCTGAAGCTTGAATATGGGGCAAGTATCAGCTTCGCCTCTGAGCGAACTGCGAGGAAGTCTCAGGCGGGATCCCCGTCCTCATGGGGCCAGCAAATCATACGTTTGAGGAAGTCCCAGGCGGGAGCACCCTCCCAACGGGGCCCACAACACACGCTTTTAATCCGAGCGGGTCATCCTCAACACTGTAACCGTCATCACTTTGGGGCTCCCGAAGCCTGCGTATGGAGGAAGAATCACGCGGGGAGCCTCGTCTGTGAACTGTGAGGAAATCTCAGGCGGGAGCCCCCTCCGCATGCGCTCTTCAGAAGGCGATTCGCCCGACCCATCAGGTGACCTCTGACTCACGCGTCCTACCTCACTCACCTTCACGCTATCGCAGGGCGAGACGTTCCGCAAGGGCGTCACCATCGTCTGCGCCGGGGACGAAAACGCTGACCGCACGGGCATGTCGGACGACCAGTGGTGACCGCACCTCAACGTCGTGCTCGCCTGCGCCACGCGCGGGCGGAACATGCTGATCGAACCGCCGCCCCTTGGAGACATCCTTGAGGGAGGGCCGCCGGCGTCCCTGCGGAAGGCGCTCGAGGAGCTCGACATGAGAGCGGCGAAGTCCAGGGATGAGGCGGAGCAGCTCGCGGCCGATCTGGGCTTCGTGCTGCCCCCCGACCTGAGTGCGGCCGCGACTAAGACGAAACCCGCGGGGTTGTCCCAACGGCTGGATCCCGCGCCCCAGCGGCTGGCAGGGTTGTCCCAAAGGCCTGGCCCGAAGGGTTGTCCCGCCGGCCACGCGATCCAGGAGTCGGCGAACGCGCCCCTGCCGGGCGCGGCGGCGAGGGCGACGACGAGGATGGACCTGCCCTGGCCATGAGGCACGGGTGGCACGGGAGAAGGATAAGAGATGGAGAAAGAAGAGGATGGCGAAGAGGAGAAAAAGGAGGACGAGGAGGAGAAGGAGAAGGGAGAGGAGGAGGAGGAGGAGGAGGAGGAGGAGGAGGAGGAGAGGAGGAGGAGGAGGAGGAGGTGGAGGAGGGGGGTGAGGGGGAGGAGGAGGAGGAGGAGGGGAGGAGGAGGAGGAGGAGGAGGAGGACGACAAGGATAGGACGAGGATGATGAGGAGACGGGGGTCGAACAAAACGGCGAGGAGGAGGCACAACTGAGGGCGGGAGGAAGGCATCCGCGAAAGTTAAGAGGAAGCAGCGAGGGGAACGTTATATTGATTCTCGTGCGGGGTCTCACCGTCGGAGTAATTGTTCAAAATGGAGCTCTCGCCTTCGCGTTGCGCACGCTCGTCTCAACAGGTTGGCTGCAAAGATGAATGACGACTTCTTCTCAAGATGAGGCTCTGCATTGAGACGCAGTGTGCATGTTGAGGCCAGACATTTGAACATATGTAGCCGCTGCGCGCATGGAGGGTTGTTTGCTTTCAGCATGGGGCTGTCGCTTGAGACTTCTTCGAACGTCGTAGTGAGGAATCTACGCGAGAGCAAGGCTTACACGGGCGTGGGGGGGATATGTTGTCAAAGAAAAAAAAGGATCTCGCTGGCCCGAAGTGCACTAGCCTGGTCATGCCTCCTAGCTCGCTGCGGTCATCGGCTTGTGTTTGGCCGCCTAGGGCGTGTGGGATGGTCTCGCGCGTGGCGGTGATGGCTCGTGGTAACCACTCTGCTGCCTCGCGGATCCCCAGTGCCTGCGCTCGGGCAACGTATGCAAGGTCCGTGGCGCACCGCAGGTTCGACCCGCGTAGCGCGGAGAGTGCCGCCGCGGCACCGCGCCGGTTGTCGCTCGCCGCGGGGTTTGCCCGTGGGGAGTCCACCGAGTCGACCGCCCATTTCCAGGCTAGGAGAAGCTCCCCCACGAGCCAGGATGGAGCGCAGGAAACAAGTTGCCCCTCCCCTGGCGAGCATAGCGGTGCGTAGGCCTGCGCAGCATGCGCCAGGGCTGAAAGGGCCGCGTCGCACGAGGGGGCGCCCCCTTCTTGGCCACGTAGCCGTGACTGGTCTTGTCGCGGGGAGACGCACGTCTTCAGCCCCGTCGCTGCCGGGCAGCAAGAGGGCGCGTCCCCCGAGCCCCGCAGTCGCTGTCCTATGACGTCTGGGCAAGCCCTGGGGAAGCCTGCAGGCGACGCGCCAATGGCGTCCACCGCGCGGTCCGGGAAGGCGCCCGCTGCTGTGAGTCGTGCCCAAGTTGACATGTTGCGCGTGGACGGGAAGGACATCCCGCCGCGCCTGCCCCCCCATGCGAGCGCAATTCTGACCTGCGTGCGGTCGGGGGCCCTACTTCTAGTCCGGTCTGGGGGAATAGGTCGAGTCCTTGTCCCGCGCGTTGTAGCTGTAGTCCCATGTTGAGTTGCATCGCAACCTCCTCCATGGTTTGCGACTGGGCGTTGGCGATGCTTTGTCCCGCCCGTGTCGCGGGGGGTCGGCCGAGCGGTTCAGGGCGAGCGCGCTGGGCAACCTGGTTGAGGTGCGCGAGCCGTATCGCGAGGATCTCGTAGGCGCGCGGCTCTATCCCGCCTCGCCGCGCCCCGCGGTTGCGGCCGCTCAGGGGCCAGAAGGGGCCCGGTGGCGTCGGCTGCGCCCAGTGCGCTCGAGGGCGTGCCGACTTCTGCGCTGGCGGGGGTGCCGTCTGTCTGGTTTGCCTCGGAGCCCGCGCGCGGGTCGCCGCGTCGCGGCGGGTCTCGACGGTGTCCCCCCGCAAACCAGTTCATCATGTCAGTGAGGGCTGGACTCTGGTGAGGGGATCGGGGGGTCCATAGCAGGTCGCCCTCGTCTTCGAGGGGGCCCCGCTGCTCGAAGCCCCATCGGCCGTCCGCGGTCGCAGTGGGCGCAGTGCATTTCGGTGATGGGCGCGAGCGCAGGGCGCCCCTGGCACGGCCATAGCACGTCGTTGCCCCGCATTCTCCAATGCGCTCCGGGGTCGGGGTGCGTTCCTGGGCGCGGTCTTCCGGGGATTTCGGGAAGATCCGCGAGCGGTCGCGGATTTCGGCAGGCAAGCTGCAAAGCGGGACTTTGGGACCTGCATATGGCGCAGGTCCACGCGACACCGTCTGCGGCAGGATCTGCTACTGGCGGGGGTGCAGAGTCGCTCGTTGACTCAAACTGCATCCGCCGTGATGGGGCAGCGGCGGGGCCGATCCGCGGAGTGCGTTGCACCCGCGGTGAGCGATGCCGCGGGTGCGGCAGCGCCCATGACCGCGCCGGGCACGTCCCCTCGGGGCGCCAGTGTCTCGCCCTGCCTTCCGGCCGTTGGACCGTTCGATGGCGCGGCGAGTCCAGCTTGGTAGCCCGGGCCGTCCGCTTCGATGTCCGTAGCTTCTACCGGGATGCGTGCGCCGTCTAGGGGGGGGGGGGGGGCGAATCGTTAGACGCGCTGGGGGGGGGGATAGCGGGCCCAGAGGTGGTGCCGTGTTTGGCAGGGAGGGCTGGGCGATCGGTGCTGATCCGCAATCCTGCGCCCTCCTTGTCGTGGCGGGAAGGGGGGAAAGCCGCCTGGTCGGTCCGCGTGGTCGGTCGCCCTGGGGAGACATGGCCGCTGCCCACTTTCGTCCGCGGTCTATTGTGGCCTCGCAGCCCTCCGATCGGTACTTCGCCACCTGCTGCGGCGTCCAGGTCCCGCCCAGCAGCGGTCTCCGAGTAGCTGGGGACCTCGGTGGCGCCCGCCCCGAGGACCACGGGGAGGACCACGTCGTTGGCGTTCCTGCGCGAGGGGTTCAGGGCACAGGTTGGTCGGATGCCACTTCCACCTGGGGAGAGAAAGAGGAGAGGTGGAACGAGGGCGGACGGGGCCTTCGGCGGGTTCAGGGCGACTAACGGTCGCATAGCCAAAGTGACCAGGGAAAGGAACGGAGAGGCCTGCTCGTCGGGAGCGGGATCAGGGCGACGAGCGGTCGCGATTGCCTGTGAGATAGGGGGGAGAGGAGTCGAGGCGTCGAAACGCCGAAGGTCTGCCTGTCCAGGGACACGCGCGGGATCAGGGCGACTAACGGTCGCATCTCCAAATTGTGCGCGGGTAGGGGGGGGAATATAGGGAGCGGGCGGGGCGCTCGGCGGGCGGTCAGCCCCCGCCCCCGCGGGCGGGCCCGCCGCCGTGCCCCCCCCAGTCCCCGGGCTGCCTGGGCCTGGCGGCGGCGGGGGGGGGGGCGGGGATCAGGGTGTCAGTCGTTGAGGTATGTCTAGTCGGCTGTAAACGCTCAGGGCCTGCGGCGGCCCCAGTGCCGGCTTGCACGTCCTGAAGTTCCCCCGACTCCCCAGCGGCGGAGGGCGCGGGGCCACCTGCCTCCAAAAATTCAGACCTCGCAACCTCCCCCCTCCTCTCCAGCCCCCGCTCGTCTCTTGGCGCGGCCGCGGGCTGGGGTTCAGGCGCGCGTTGTCCCACCAGCTCCCGCTCGCTGACCTCGGGGCGGAGCGCAATGGGGGGTTTCGGCAGTGGGCCTGATCAACGAGGTCCCGTCCGCTATTCGGAAGCGATCGGTCGCGTCGAAAGGCAGCCGAGGGCGACGCGAGGCGAGAGGCGCCGCCGGGGCGCGCGCGGGGGGCCGGCGCGCGGCCCAGGCGGTGCGTCGGACGCCTCCTCGAGAAAGGGGGGGCCCCCCTCACGGCTTGAGCCAGAGGGCCTACGGACACACACGCACACAAACACACAAACACACACACACACACACACAGACACACACAGACACACACAGACACACACGGACACACACAGACACACACACACACATTCTCTCTCTCTCTCTCTCTCCCTCTCTCACACACGCACACACACACACACGCGCGCATCCGAGAAATCCTTCCCCTGACCCCTCTCCCCCTGCTCCCCGATGGTCGGATCTGAAACAAAAACATACGACCATCCTTCAGGAACAAAGACCCTCCGCCAGCCATCCGTTCAAGAACACCCTTCAAGAACGCCCAGAAAACTCTGAGAAGATCAAAGCTTCCGCCCTGAACCGACCTCGATCTTATACCTCGGTCCGATCTTATGTCCCCTTCGTTCCGCTTGTCTGAAACATCCCCTGCCCCTGTGCTCTTCGCCCCCCTCCTCCGCCCTCCGTGCGCCCCGCCCCCCCCCCGAGGTCGGGCCCCGCATCCCCCGTCGCCCCCCCTCGTCCGTCTGCACTGCGGTGCCCAAACCTCCCCGGCCTCGCCCGCCCAGAGGGTGCCCCTCATGCCCCTCCTCCACAATTGCACAATGTGAATACTGCTCTCTTCTCTCCCCCGATGACGTCCGGAAGACGGCCGCCCCCCCTTCGCGTTTTGGCTTTTTGTGCACGAGATCCCCTGGAAACCAGATGTCGTTTGGGTTTGTTTTCGAAATGCTACTCTCGCTGAAGCGCTGGTTTCATGTTCGGGCCACCGCTCGTTCCGGATCGTGTTCCCGCTGCAGCGATGGCCTCATTTCCGCGTTTCCGCTCGTTCTGAATCGTGTTCCCGCTGCGGCGCTGGCGTCAAGCGCCATGCCACGGCATGGTTCCGGTCCTTCCACATAGGCTCCAAAATCTAGAAATGCCCCCCGAGAAAACCATCGGACGTGATTGCACATTCGGTGCCGATTCGTTGATGTGTTGGGCCGCAGAAGCCTCCCTCTTTGGGGCGTCGCCACGCCGTGTTATGTCATGCTACGCGTTGACCTCCAACACCAGGCTATGCCATGTAATGCTACGTCATACTACGACATCCGATCCTGCGAATAAAGAAAAGATCTACGCCATGGTAGGGGATAGGATGGAGGGGTCGAAAGTCAGATATGACGCGAGCGGTCACCTAGCTTGTCCTCCTGCCCCTCCTCTCCTCCTCCTCCTCCTTCTCCTCCTCTTCTACCTCCTCCTCTTTTCAAGGGAAGCTACCCTGGTCGCGGTGCTCTGACTCCACTGACTACGTGTGCTCAAAATCTCTGAGCACAAACGCCGTGGCTGTTCTGATGCCTTCTATTTCCATTTGAAAAGATGACTTGGCGTCGCCCACGAAACCGCACAACAACCCACACTGCGCGATTTGAAGAACCGCTTGGGTTTGAATTTCCCACCATTTTTACGACGTAGCCTCCCCCGACTCCTGGTGAATACCCTCCGTCGGAGAAACACTGCATTGCCACGACTACTCCCAACTTTTCCTGGACAACCTACTCAGTCAAATTGCCATATGATGATTTTGTATTCATCGAGCGCTTGACCAAGAGATCTGCGCCTGTGTTCCATTCCATCGGCCTCAAATCAACGGGATCCAGATGTCCGCTTTTATGTTGAAAATGCCCCTGGTACATATGAAACAAGTTCGCCCGCACGCTGTGGACGGTCTGCTCGCGCATACGATTCGTCACGCATTGCGTAGAATTCGCGAGTCCCGCCACCGACAAACTGTCAACCACGAGCTCCAATTGCACCTTGTGCGACGGGTGATAGTAGAAAAACGCATCCCGGCCCAAGGCGGATGACATGGGAAACTCTTCCAAAGCGTCTAATGCGGTTGGGCTCAACAGTGGCTCGGCAACCTCTCTGCTCCGTCCCGCTGAATAGAAACAAGGCGGCTCCGGCAACTTCAACACTTCGCATGCTTTTGCCACAAATTTCCGGCAGCCTTGGGCACGGTCATGCTCACGAATATGGCTTTGCATCTCCGACCTCCAGTGATACCCCAAGATTTTGGCCATCATATCGCGGGCGCTGGCGCGATCCCCCCGGCGAGCGTGCAAAAGGTCAGGGGCTTCTGCTTGCTCGAGCTGGTGTTCCGTAGAGTTCCCCGCCATGCTGCGTCAAGCTCCCGGACCGCTGCTGCTGCCCACTCTCCGTGGCCCTGCTCTCGCAAAAGGTTGGCGTACACCCTCCAATATCAGAACATGTACCAGTTTGAAATGGCAACATTAGTGCCGCCCCTTAAGCTTGAGAAGCGTGCGGCTGTTGAACTGCATGATGCCCTCCTCCGGCTTCCGCTGCATCCGAAAACTCTTCGTAAGTGCGTGCGTTCTTTTTTTTTTGTGCCCGGACAGAACACCTGGGCGACACAACCCGAAGGGAGGTGCCCAAGGTGCCTGCATGAATTCACATGCAATCGGACCTCGCAACACGAACGGCGGCACGGACCGCCCCCGGCGTTATCCGCGCCGCCGTTGCGAGGTGCCTCGAGATGCCACCCCGAGACACGGCCACCGGCACCAACCCCCACTTGGCCGCCGGCCTCAAGCAGCGGAGGCCCCGCTGCCCAAGGACTTAAGTTCCCGCGCCCCCCACGTCGGGGGACCCCTTCGAGTAACCCCATCGGGCCTCTCAGGGGTGGTACGGCGGGCCCGCACCTACTGTGGCTGGCCAACCACAGGGCAAGAGTCTCTCCCACAGCCCCGTCGAGCTGTGGAGACGATCGGGCTGCCAACCCGCCTGTTTTCCTGGGACGCCACAAAGGCACCCAGCGGCACAGGTGCCAACTGCGTGCGTTCCCACCAAATCACCTCCCAGAATAGTGGCGGACCAATGCACAACTGGTGTAAGAACAACCGCCGACGCCTTCGGACGTGTCTTGAAGCTTGAGGCTAACTGGATCTTTGTACTTACAATAGCAAAGCTCTCCTTTGGAAAGCCGGTGGTGGAGAAAGCGCTCGATCAGGGTGCACAGGTTTCAAAGCCCCACCCAAAGCAACCATAGCATCAACGACGGCGTAAGCTAAGCTCCCATCTACTGGAAACTCGAGTCGCCCTCCTTCTGGACGCTCCGTTCCAACAAAGACCATCTCCAAAGACAGTTTCCATGACCACCTGTACTCGGAAGAAACGGCAGTACTAAGGGATCGGCACATAACACTATCTTAATCAAACGACCGCACACACACACAGCCACACAGCCACACAGCCACACAGCCACACAGCCACACAGCCACACGCACACGCACACGCACACACACACACACACAACAAAAAGCTGTTGTCTACCATGTCATGGGGATGGTGACCCCACTATCTGGCAGGGCAAAACCACCCCCCAACCGATCCCACCTCCTCTCCTCTTCCTGCACCTCCTCCTCCTCCTCTTCCTCCTCCTCCTCTTCCTACTCTTCCTCCTCGCCTCCTCCCCCTCGCCTCCTCCCCCTCCTCCTCCTCCTCTTCCTCCTCTTCCTCCTCTTCTTTTCGGATCGGCAGTGCGCCCCCCCCCCCAGACCAAGCGCAACGATCCCCTCCTCCTCGTCGTCCTCCTCCTCCTCCTCCTCCTCCTCCTCCTCCTCCTGCTCCTCCTCCATGTTTTCCCCCTGCCACTCCAGATGGCACATCCCTCCTGATCATCCTCCTCAGTCCCTCCCTCTCCTCCGCCCCGAGGCGGGAAAGACATCCTTCTGCATGTCCGCGCACTCCTTGGTGAGGTCTCCGATCGCCTCGCCAGGCGCAGAGCGCCAGAGGGAGGGGGAGAGGGGGAGAAGTGCCTCATCCTGCCTCCTCATCACGCCCTCCCTGTCTCCTCCTCGGGCGCGCGAAATGGATACAGAAAAAATGGGTACGATGCCCAAAACCAAATGTTGGCTAACAACCGACAGCGGCGGCCGCTGCTGGCGGGCGGGCGACTTCTTCGTCAACAGTGGACACGGTCCGCGGCGACGTTCGAAATGTTGAGGGTCTGCGGTCGGTCCTCGAACACCTTGTTTCTGTACCCATTTCGATCGTGCCGATCCTTCCCTCCCTCCTCGCACGGTCCTCCCCCCTCCTCTCTTCTCCTCCCCTTTGCTGCGCGCAGGAGACTCCTTTGGTGCGCGGCCTCGGGGGGCGAAGGGGGAGCGAGCGCGATCCGCTCCTGTCTCATCGCGTTCAGCGATCGGGGGGCCCCGGTGGGCTCGCAGCCAAAGGTCACTCCGACAAAGGGTCACTCTTATGTGTGGTTGTTCTCTCCACGAGTGCCACTGCCTGTTCGCCAGTCCCTCCTGAGCTCTCCTCCACCGTCCAGGTTGCAGAACCTTTCCCTCTTCCTCGTCCGCCGTTTCCTCCTCCTTTTCCTCCTCCTCCTCCTCCTCCTCCTCCATTTCTTCCTCCTCCTCCTCCTCCTCCTCCTCCTCCAAGTGTTGCTGTTGTTGCCCTTCCTCCTCCTCCTCCTCCTCTTCCTCATCATCATCGTCATCATCAGCATCATTATCAGCATCGGCATGATCAACATCAGCATCATCAGCAACATCATAAGAATCAACATCATCATTATCATCAAAACCACCACGACCATCAGCACCATCATCATAACCACCGTCATCAACATCAACGTCATCATCGGCATGATCAGCATCGTCAGCATCACCACAATCACCACCATCACCAACAACATCGCCAACATCATCAACACCAGCGTCACCATCGAAATCCGCATCACCATCGTCATCATCATCTTCAGCAGCATCAACGCCATTTTCACAATAATCACCAACGCCGAAATCACCAGCAACATCATGAAACCCATCATCATCAGCAGCATCAGCATCATCACCAGCACCCTCATGACCAGCACCATCATCACCATCAGCATCATCATCAGCATCCTCACCCTCATATTCATCATCACCACACCCACCACCACCACCATCACCATCACCATCGCCATCACGAACACCATCACCATATCGACCACAATCACAGTCATCACCGTCATCGCCATCACCCGTATCATCGCCACCGGGACGATCACCATCGTCATCAACACCATCGTCACCATTATCATCACCACCATCTGCATCATCATCAGCAACCTCAACATTACCATCATCATCGCCGTCATCGCCATCAGCACCATGATCGCCGTGCCTCCTCTATTCCGCCTACTCCTGCCCCCCTCGCCTACAATGGGCAGCAGCAGGACAGGAGCACGGGCAGGCGGAAGAGGGTGAGGGAACGATGGCAGGAGCTGGACAAGGAACAGGCCTCGTCGTTCCGCCGCCCAACCTCCGCTGGGGGAGCGAAGAAGCACCGCCGCCGCCAATGAAACAGGCACGTCCAGTTTCCCTCAGTTCCCCCACGGCGAGAACCCCTGAACTGCATGTATCCCTGCGCCCCAGATGAGAATCCCCAGGAAATAATGAAAGTCGAGGGTCTGGCGGCGAAAATCAAAGATTTCCCCGGGAAAGGCGACGTCATGATGATGACGATGATGATGATGATGGTGACGATGATGATGACGATGATGATGATGATGATGGTGATGATGCTGACGGTAACGATGGCGACGAAGACCCCGGGCGGTCGCGTAGATCTTGTCACGAGACTGACTCGAGAGACATCGAGGCGCGCGGCTACAAGTTGCCGGCGCAAGAGAGTCCTTGGCGCTTCTGGCCAAGTGACCTCTCTTGCGCCCGACCTCCACCACTCGCCACCGCAGGCTCGGCACCTTTTGGGGCCGTCCTTGCGCGAGGGGCACTTGGCGCAGGCCTGGGCGGCAGCGCTTGCCTCTTCGAAAGTAGCGCGCTTCGGCTCGACCGCCGCGGGGCCCTTGAAGGGCGTGGACTTGGCCTTGCTCTTGGCCTTGGCCTTGGCCAAGTCGTTGTCGCTGGCCTCTTTGAGCTTGTTGATCCACTCGTTGCCTCGGGCGCGCATCGCGCTGGTGCTCGCGGGCGCTCGGCGGCCCTCGCCTCGGATCTCGCGCAGGGCGCGCTCGATCCAGCGACTCGTCCACGGGCCGCGGGGCCAGGCGTCGGCCTGGAATATCTCGCTGCTCCTAGCAGGGCAGGTCTCGCCAGGGCCAATGGCGCCGAGCTTGCGGAGGACCTTCGCGGCGGTCTTGGGAGGCCGCGCGCGACCCCGACCAGCGACTTCTGAGGAGGAGGGCGGGGTTCACTTCGTTCGGCAGCCCCCGAGCAAAGTGAACCCTACTCAGAAATCGCGGGGCGTGGGCGTGCGTTCGCGCGTGGCACTTTAGGCCTGCTTGGCGGTCTCGGGCGGCTGCTCGAGGGCGTCGCGGCGCTCCGCCGCGACGCCCCCCCGCCCTCGAGACCTCGGCGGGCGCTGCCGCGAGCGCGCCCTGCCCGGGGCGCCCCCGGGAATTCGCCCCAAAACGGAGCGAGCAACTGGGGGCGCCTTGGGGCGGGGGCAGCTGTGGCAACCGCTGGCCGCCTCGGATTGCGCGCAGATCACGGCGCGCTCGGCCGCCTGGACTCTCTCGGCCCAGCGCCTCTGCTCCTCGGGCTGTTGGGCGGCGGGTTCGCCCTCGCCCTGGCCCCCTCGAGCCCGGGCGATGGCCGCCGCGGGCTCGGCCGCCAGGGCGGTCTCGGGGGCGCCCGCGCGCTCTTCGATCTCGCCCAGCAGCGCGCGCGCTGCGCCATGCTCGAGGGCGTCGCCCTTGACGATCTGCTCGCAGCTCATGATCGCGCAATCCTTGGCGAGCTCGGTGCGGCGAGCCAATCTGCTCTGGCGCCAGTCGGGCCCGTGCGGCTCGGGGAACTTGTAGCCTTGCTCGATCGTGACCTGACCTGCAGCGCTCGGGATTCAGAGGTACTCGTTATCTTCCGCCTGCTCCCGCTTCGTTAGCTCCGCCTGCTTCCGCCAACTGTCCGCCGCTTCCGCCGTCGCCGCCGCCGTTTCCGTTGGCTTCCGCCGCCTCGAGTCGGAGGCGGGCGGAAGCTAGCGGGCGCCTGTGAGCCCCCGAGCCCCGCTGCCTTCGATCTGGGAGATCGCCGCGGCCCCCGCCTCGAGGGCGCGCAAGCGGCGCGCGCCCTCGGTGCCCGGGGCTCGCCAGATGTCCTGCGCTCTGCCGCGCCTGCCCGCGCGGACCACCTCCTAGGCGACGCGCGCCACCTTGCCGTGCCATGGGGGGCCCTCGCAAGCCTCGAGGCCCGTTTTCTCCCTGGCCTTCGCTTGCGGAGCTCGTCTTCGCTTTCGACGGCCTGCCTGTGAGCTTCGCCTTGGCCGAGCCACGCTTCGATGAAGTCGATGGCCCAGGAGGCGACGAGCTCGCCCGCCCAGGCCCTGGGCTGCCCCCGCGCGTCGATGGCCTCGAAGGCCTCACGCGTTCCTCCTCGGGGCACTCGAGCAGAGCGCTGCGCCGGCCCTTGAGCAATGCTCCTGGGGGCTCGCCTGCTCGGAAGCGCGCCGCCCCGCCGTCGCCCCGCTCGTAGGCGGCGTCGCGCCGCCAAGTGCCCTCCCCCAGGCTCATTTCGCTCGCTCGGCAGCGCCTCGCGCAGGGCGCGAGAAGCACGCTCCGCTTCTTGGCGGACTTGGGCCTCCTGCTCGGGTCGAACCGGCCCTCGACAGCGGAGATGCTGATGGGGCGGATCCTGCGCTGGCCCCCTGCTCTCGAGTAAGCATGGTCCACTTGCCCCTTCTAGTCGGGGTGCACTGCCAGGTGACTGGCCTTCTCGGCCTCGAAGGCTGCCTCGCCCCCCTCGGCCTGCGTCTCGCGGTGCTCGCGGCGGAGGTTCTGGATGCGGGTCTCGGCGCCTGCGGCGTGGATCTCGCTCTCTCGGACACGCGCTTTCTCCTCGCCCCGGAGCTTGAGCAGAGCGCGGCGGCGCCGCCGACGACCGCGCTCGCGGTGGCCCTCTGCTGGGCGACGTCTTGGGGCCCTCTTGGAGGCCTCTTCCTCAAAATTGGAGCGGCATTGGAAGCCTCTTGGGCCGTCTTGGAGCATCGGGATGCCAAAATGCCGAACCAATTTAAACCCGTCAATGCCCAATCGTAAACCAATGACTTGTGCCTCCTTCTCGGGGGCCTCTTGGATCCGATTGGGGGCCTCTTGGGACTTCCCGAGAACCTCTCGGGATAGAAAGCTCGGATTCTCGGTTCGCGTTCCCTTCTTGGGCCTCTCTTGGGGCCGTCTCGGGGCCCTCTCGGGCCGTCTTGGGCGCCTCAGGCACCGCCTCGGGGGCCCGGTGGGCCGCCCAGGGCCCTCTTGGAATCCTCTTCGGCTATCTTGGATCTGTCTTAGAGGCCTCTTCCTCCTCCTCGCCCCCCCCCCCCCCCCCCCCCCCCCTCCCACTCCAACTCCCCCCCCCCCCCCCCCCCCCCCCCCCCCCTCCTCCCGCCGCGTGTTCCGGGAAGCTCCCGCCGGAACATGCTGTGCACAAGTGCTGTCGCTGTTCCCGCCGCCGTGCCCTGGGTGGCGGGTCAGAGGCCTCGTGGGTGTTGCTTTGGATCTCGTGGTTGGCCTGTCGGGGACGTCGTGAAGGCAGTTTCGAAGCTTCTCGGTCGCCGTTTTGGGACCGTTGCGGGGCCTCCTTGGGGGTTTGTGGCCCCTTTAGGCTTCGTTTGGGCCGCCTCTTGGGGGCTCCTGGGGGCCTCCTGGGGCACTCTTCAAGCGGGGGGGTCGAATGTCGGAATCGCGGCCACCCTCTTGGGCGCATCTTGGCGTCGTCTCGGGCTCTGTTGGGCTGTCTTGGGCGACTCTGGGGCCGTCTTGGGGCCCTCTTGG